CGTGCCTAGGTTTGTATTTGCATGTTTAATCTTTTGTCATGCAAACACTAGGTATATCTTATGGTAGGCTTGCTCGGTATCACTCTTACCCTTGGAGCAAACCTACATGGTTTAAATTGCTTAGAAGCACGACACATATCTTGTTTTATAATTGTTTATCTAATATGTGCCAAAGTCCAAATTGCAAATAATTTTCCCCGAATATCACTTTTGAAAATGGTTATCACGTTAATGTGATGTCATCTTTCAAATGGTATTTTTTTAAATCAATATGCATATATTCTACAAGTATTCCATGCTTGTATGTATAAATTTAGGGGGAGGTTACTCTACAAGTTGGATGCTTTGAGACTAACACCATTTAAAGCTTATCATGTGTGTAGTAGTCTCATTGCAAGGAAAATGAAGTCCCCGGAGATAAGCATCAAGCTCTAAAATCCACCACCATTTACAAGTAATATCGTTACAAGTGGTGATGATCAAAGTGATCTCTACATGTGGTATTTCTAAACCGATATCATTATGATGATTTCACTTTGGTATTTATATAGTTTCTCCATGCATTATATAGATTAAACTCCCTTGTGCATTATTTTGCCAATTATGCATATCTTCACCCTCCACCATATGTATGCATATATTTAGGGGGAGCTTAGTCTATGTAATGTGAGAGTCAAGTTTTGTGACCTATTCCACTCCACGTATAAAGGATCGTAAAATTTGACCCTCCCTTGTGTTACTAATGTCTTCCTTTTCGGTATTTGATTCCAAAGGAGGAGAAATTATAGGACCAAAAACAAGCCCGGTCATAATAATTTACAAGTGGTAATGGTCCGAGAAAGGGAGGATAGTGGATTATGAAATTAGGGGGAGGCTACCATTTGGGGACATTTGCAAGGTACGAGAAAGTGAGAATAGTGGATTATGGAATTAGGGGGAGGCTTAAGTCCATAATACCATTTGGGGACATTTGCAAGGGCAAGATAAGTTTCTAAAAGTTCATACAAGAGATACCTTTAGCATCATATAAACTTGCCCCTTGCTTTGCATCCTAGCAAGTAGATAGTTTTTTAAATTTCAAAATTTATATCATTTGCTTGCTTTGGTCATGTTGTCATCAATGACCAAAAGGGGGGAGATTGTAAGGAAAATGGACCCTTGGCCCATTTACTTTGGATTTTAGTGTTTGATGATCAACAAGACCAAATTGGACTAATGTGTTTGTGAGTGTTAGTTTTGTAGTCCAATAGGTTGCAAACGTGACTTGGACGAAGGCGACATGATGATCTGATGATCAACACCTCAAGCAAGACCCTAGAAGCACAATAGAGGACCCAAGAAACTAAGCAAAGTCTGAGCACAAAGATAGGAACCAAGCCGGATGCAAGATCGCAAAGAAACGAGCTCGGCAGAGGTGATCGAATGCGACCCTTATGAGGACCGAACGTGTCTGATCAGCTGCTCGGCAACAGCAAGCGTCAACAACAGCGACCAGACGCTGAGCGAGGCAGTGATCAGACGCATGGACTTCATTGTTCATCGTCGCGGCAACAACTTAGTGAGGACTAGACGTAGCAGCTGTGGACGACCACACACGCTAGGCAGTGGCATCTAATCGAGTCCAGAGAGGTTCCAAAGCGGTGAAACATTGATCGAAAGCGTCGGATGGTAAGCGACTGGACTCGCTAGAGAGTTCAATCAACAGTGAGCGCCAACGGTCGGGACGACCAGATGCGTCCGATCAGGACGACCTGCGTGTCCGGTCAATGGCAGAAAGCTAGGTTTCATCCCCAATGGCTACTTTCTCCAAGGAACTTATAAATAGACCCCCAACCAGCCAATTGAGGAGTGAAGAGCTAAAGAAACATACCTTTAGTGATCTCCACTTGCATAGTACTTAGTGATTCATTAGGTGATTAGAGTAGGTGCTTTGCGAAGTGCTTAGGTTGATTAGACCACCGCTTATGCACTTGCTCTAGATTTAGGCCTAGTGTTTAGTGAGGTTTGCACACCTCTTATTACTCGGTGCTTGCGCACACCATTGTTGTACATCGGAGGGGCCTGTAGTCTTGCGAGATCACACCAACCGCATTTGTGGTGTGGGCGCCACCGTGTACCGAAGGGAACAAGGCTCGCGTTGGTTCGACGGGAAGCTTGATAGTGAATACGGCGGGGAAAGTTCCAGGAGAGGCTTATCGAAAGGCACACCGAAGACCCACTTGCGTGTGGGGAAGGACTGGGGCTATCCACAGAGTTACCTGACTGAGAGCTTGGCCCTTGCAAGGAATTCCTTGCGAGGGGCTCCAACGAGGACTAGGGGGAAGCTTGAGCGCTTCTTGATACCTCGGTAAAAATACCAGAGTCATCGATGAGAGTTTGCATCTCTACCTCATCTTTACCTTCCGCATTCACATTGCTACCTTGGTTGATTGCTTTACTTTCCTAGCTTAGTTGATAGGCTAGTTGATAGGATTGGAACCTAGGTTGCATAACTCTTTTGCGGTAGAGATAGCAACACACCTAGCAAAACCATAGTTGCACATCTAGATAGATTAGTTTCTTACATAGGTTTTGACTTGGTGGAATTAGAAGCCATAGTTTAGAGTAGATCTTTAAGTTGCCTAATTCACCCCCCTTCTTAGGCATCATGGTCCCTTACAATGTGGACCGTCCAATGTTAAAGTCTAGTTAGCCTTTCTTAAAACTATTTTCAAAGATTTATTATTTTCTTATTTTTAAACATCACTAATCAATATGCAGGCAATGCCATAACTTGAGAAAAGTGGCACTATAGAATCATCAAGTAAACGAGCATTGACCTCTAGTAGCAGCACAACTATCTAGCCTATTAACCTAATCATGTATCACCCTTCAATCACCTTATGACTAGCTAAACTAAAAAAACCTATCATATGTCGATATATCTTTGTCTTGAGCTATCCGTCATATATTTTCTAAGGTTGGTCTCAATGGGGCTTCATGAGAGTTTCATGATCATTAAATAAGATGACGTGGCATAGTTTTAATGAAGAGTGATAAGATAAAAGTTTTATAGGATGAAATGAGTTTCATGGGTGATGAGACTTATCTGCACTGGTTTCCAATATAAGAGTCTTGGAATAGTGACATAAAAGAAAGATATAAAAGGGAAAGCACCAGCACTCACCAAATGGAAGCCAAACGATACTGTGCAAGAGGAAATTCTTAGAGAGAGATGTGAGAATTGATCGGCACCACCGGAGGGAAGGGTAAAACTAAATATTGATGCTTCTTTCTTTGCGACAACAGGGGAGAATTTTAGTGGAGCCGTTATCAGAGACCATTTGGGTAGAGTACTCTTATCATCCTGTAGTGTAAATAAGAAGTGTGCCACAGTTGAAGAGGTAGAAGCTAAAGCCTGTTATGAAGGCATCAAGCAAGCAGCGGAATGGATAAAAAAGCCAACTATAATTGAGTCTGATTGCCTTTGCTTAGTGGAGGCCCTAAAAACACCTATGGAGAACAAGTCAAGATACTCAAATATTATGAAGGAGATTAAACATGATATGAGGATGATTCCTGATGTGAGGTTTAGTAAAATTGGGAGAGAGTGCAATAGAGTATCTCATGAATTAGCTCAACTAGCAAGACGTACTTGGCATAGTGCGGTCTGGAGAGAAAACTTTCCTTTTTGTATTAGTGATCTTCTGAAACTAGAATGTAATAACTCTGTTGATGAATGAATGCACTCTTTCTCCCGCAAAAAAACCTTCATTGTGACTGGCCTTTAGACTATCTCCAACAACCATGACCCAAAATACAAGACCCATTCGTCCTTTGGGTAGCGTTACAGGCAAAGGGTTCAATACCTATTTTTGGTCTTCTCCAACAACAAGACCCAAAAGACAACCCTTTCTGCAAATGGGTCTCCAGGAGAGAGGATAATCAGATTTGGGTTATGCCTCTCCTGGCACCTAAAATGGGTCTTCCATATAGGTACTCTGTTGGAGGCTATATGTATTGTGTTGGAGACCCATTTTGGATTTGGGTTATGTAATGGGTCTCCTATTGAAGACAGCCAAGTCCTTGTACCATGGCATCTGCTGCAGCTCAATTTTTCTCGAGGACCGGTCATCAATGACATTACTAATCCATAAATATTGTCATTACTTAACCCGTTCCCATTTGTAACCGTGTGTTTGGTTTGGGGACGGAGTGGAATGGGTTGGCTCCATTCTAGATTTGTGGGATGGGTTGAACCCAGTTCTTGTTTGGTTAGAGAAATAGGTTCATTCTAGTTTTCTGTTTGGTTGAAGGGATAAAAGAGGATGGGTTCAACCCTTCTCTTGTTTGGATAGAAGAACGAGGACAAGCCATGAATATGGTCACCTGCTGTACCTTGTATGGTAAGGTTACCTCTACTTGATGTTAGCAAACTGAGATCAGTGCTAAGCCATAAGTTGTACACCACGCCCATACATAAATTTGAATGGACATGTTACATGAACAATATGCACCCAGCAAACTGAGATCGATGCTAAGCCATAATATAACAAGTTTAAAGCCTTACAATATAACAAGTTCAAGGCTTTACAACAATACAAGTCCAAACCTTACACAGTACATAGCAACCATTCTTACATAGTGCATCAAGTCCAAGCCTTACATACTACAGAGTCAAGCCTTATAAGCTGACACCTAATACAAGTTCAACCAGTAGCATTACTTAGACCACAATTCGTAGTTCAATATTGTACCAGCAAAAGAGACATTGAACTAGTCGACACCACATCTTTCTACTGTCTTGAAAACTTTTCACAAACAAACAAAGCAACCTAGTTCAACTTGTCTCAAATGGCAGATTCATGAAAGCTTTAGCCATATTTGGGTTGGCCACCAGATAAGCATAATACAAAGATATGTGGGCTGCCTCAAAACCTAGAAGGTTGGTCAAGCTTTCAAATAGGCCTTCTGGAGTTGCATCTGGATTAGCAACCATTTTTATAGCATTGGAGAGACTTTCACCTACACTTTTGAAAAACACTAATCAGCCCTTCTTCTTCATTTTCAGCTATCTTGGCTTTCTTGGTCTTGCTTGCAGAAGATGTTGCCCCATTATTATCTGGAGTACTGCTTGGTGCTTCACTGAAATCATGTCCAGTAACCTCTTCAGCTTCAGTGTCAGCATCTACGGTACCAAGAGGTGCACTAGAGTCCTTTGCAAAATTTCCTGTAGCCATGGTATTCCCAAATATTGTTTGCATTTCAGCAAAGCGCTCAAGTGGCTTGTTCAAGAACTCAACATCAATTTTATGATCCTACAATGGAGAAGCATTTAGTAGATGAAATATGACAAATAGTATAATGTAAACATGCCATAAGTATACCTGAACATAGTTATTGTAATGCTCATCACCTAGTGTAATAATGAAGTTATCTTCATCCCACCTAGCAGCACTCAACTTCCTAAGCTTATTTATCTTTGCAATGCCATGTCTTCAAATGATTCTTGATCTGCTCACATGTGCGCATCGTATTGAACCACTCATTGACAGCTCTAGCACATGCATTGAAATGGACCTTCTTGAAGCCCTTTGATGTTTTAGCACCACTAGCCACCACATTGGCAAGGTTGGAGAGCATCACAGCAGTCTAGGCTAATGTCCATACAGCATGGCCGACAGTTCTCCCAAGACCCTTGGCTGGCTGCTCCATTGCCTACCATTAAAAAACCAGCAAGCAGTGAATAAATATGTGGTAAAACATCAAGCAGTAAATAAATATGTTGGAAAACAGCAAGCAGCAAATAAAAATCAGAGCATTATATACCTCTTTGGAAGCCATGTGCGCATACAACATGTACTTTCAGTTATAAATATGTAATTTCAGCACGCTACACATGAATTAGTTATAAAGATGTCCATACAACTACATAACAGCAAGCAATAAATCCAAGGAACTGAATTACAACAACTAAAATGTCCTTTAAAATAAGTTACAGCAATTAATATGGCCTAGAAATGGAATTGGACATCACTTAGTTCACATTGTTTCTTTGCCGGTCTGCCCACATTTGATCAGCAATTTCTTGTCTAAAAGTAACCATGGTTGCATGTTCATTTGCTTGACCAGCCAATGTTGTAGCATGATTATGACTTGGCCAACTAGGATCATCTAAGAAAAACTCATCGCTCCCATCTTGGATGACCCAATTATGGATGATACAACAAGCAACAACAATATCTACTTGAGTTGAGAAAGGAAAAAATGGAGTAGCATCATCAAGAATTTTAAATCTTCTCTTTAATGCCCCAAATGCACGCTCTACTATGATACGAAGAGATGAGTGTGTAAGGTTGAATAGCTCTTTCTCATTTTGCACTAGGTTAGCTCCCCACTCATTCAAGTGATACCGGACACCACGAAATGGAGGCAAAAATCTAGTTTTGGTGCCATATCCACCATCGACTAGGTAGAATTTGCCTGACATGTAATTGACAGGTTGGTCACAATGCTATATAAGAACAATTTATATGGATAAATTTAGAGGCTACTATTCTATTACCTTGTGGAACTCGAAGGCCATTCACAATATCTAAAGCATCTCTTAACACTGTAGCATCTTGTGCCGTCCCCTCCTAACCAACCAAGACATAGGTGAATCGAAGATCAAAGTCTACCGCTACCATGACATTTTGAGTGGCATATGACTTCCTACCACGAAAGGCATGCTCAATATCCTTAGGAATAGAGGCTCTCACATGTGTACCGTCAATAGCTCCAATACAATCCTATTGTATGTTCAATAAATCATATATAAATTAGGTACCATATAGGGTTATATTGATTCAAGATCAAAAGAAATTAGGGATAATGCTCACACCTTGAAATAAGGATCCCACCTATGGTTCCCTGCTATTTTGCTTGGAGTCTCCAATGATGGGGGCTTAATAAATTCCCCTCATAGTTCACCGATGGCATGAAGTACCTTGTTAAAATAACGGCTAACCGTTTCTCCTGATCTATCAAAATTTGTGACAACTAACCTATTCCTAAGGTTGTGCCCCACTATATTTAGAAACATAGCCACTTGTTGTTCAACACATATGTGTATGGTATCTTCAAGCAAACTATGATCCCTAAAAAGATTGCAAAACCAAAAGAATTTGTCTCTATTAATTCTTAGCATGTTCACACATGTTGTATCATCCTTCCAAATTTTGTTGTCTAAATATTCAAGTCTCAGCCTATCCCTTTCTTCCAAAGCCCATAGGTAATGCCTACTCTTCTTGCATCCCGTTTACGTTTTCTAGATTGAATAATCATTGCCATCATAGACAATAACATATAAGCAGCAGCAGCACAAACTACAACCTTCCTCCTGTTATCCATCTACAATAAAGTGGTGAAAAAATGCCATATCACGGTCTCTGCACAGACAAGAACCAAGCCATACTGGCTCACAAAAAATGCTTTTGCTTTAATCAAATTGGCCAAGATCTACTGTAATCATACTTGCTAGGGATCTATTGTAATTAAATCGGCTAGATCTATTGTAACCATAGGGTTTACCATGGGTAGAGGACGAGCTACTGCAGAGGAGCTTCTCTACAGGGAGGAGGCGGCTAGTGGGAGGAGGAGGAGGCTGCCGCGATGGTGGGAGGATGTCGCCGTGCCGGTGGGATGAAGAGGACACCGCACTAGTGGAAGGAGGAGGAGGAGGTCGGTGGGAGGAGGAGGGAGCCGCACCAATGGGAGGAGGCGGTCGCCGCGCCGATGGGAGAGGCCCTCGCGCCTCCGCTGCGACGAGTCGGGGATGAGCGATGCGGAGTGGAGGTGGTGAGCGTGTGAGTGGAGCGCGAGGGGAGCCCGTGACCCCGCGGTCGGGTCTGGGTCGGCGCGGTCCCTTCAATTTGCTGGCATCGGGGGAACCCGCATCTAGGGAGCATATTCCCTCCTGGGTTGGACCCAGTTTCACCAACCCGCAAACCAAACAACAGATCATCTAGGTCGAACCCGGGATATCCCACCAGAACCCGCAATCCAAACACACGGTAAGTTATTATGTCTTTTCTAGGTACATAATCTTATTGTGTATACAGACATAAAGTATTTTAGGTTTAAAATTGTAAGTCATTTTGACTTTCACATATGGACATATGGATATAACCATTTGATTTATTGTGAAAATTATTTTCATAATATATTATTAGTTTTATTATTACTTGCACATCAAAACTAGTTATATACCGGAGGGCGGAGATAGTGTCAAACTGTCAATGGTGGAGAAGTCATTTAGGTCCTGTTTGGATCCCACTAGTTTTTAAAGATCTGGTATTTAAAAACTAGGTGTGATCCAAACAGGCTAGTTTTTCCTCAGTTTCTTATGTCAGTTTTTGTCAGATTCTTAAAAACCAAGAAACTATTAATACCCAGCTTTTGCCAGTTTTTGACCCTGTGAGCAATAAATGAAGTAAGATTCTTAAAAATTGGAGGATACAAACACCCTCACCAGTTTTTGTTTAGAATCCAGATTTTAGAGACTAGAGGCAAAATGTGGTTTTCAAAAATTTAGAACTCTCCCAAACATGCTTTTAACGTAAAATAAATCATGTGAAAGTTCGTCAAAATGAATGTGGTAATAATTTTTTAATGTAATAAGACTGTCTCCAACAGTGCACGCAACGGGCGACCCAAACGCAAAATGCATCGTGCACAGTGTTTTTACGTCCCAAAATCACGGTCCAACGGAGGACGCAATCAAGGCAGCCATTTTGCGTAGCAGCCGTGATAGAAGGCAAAAAAGTGTCGTCGTTCTCGACGACGCAAAACACTGCAGAGAGAGAGAGAGAGAGCGGCGACGCCGGGGCAGCAAGACGTAAGGGGGCCGATGGAGGTCGTTGAGGCGCACGCCGTCGTGGAGTCCGGATCCATGGCCGCCATTGGAGGGAGCAGGGTGGCGGCATCGGACGGGGGAGGGGCTGTGGGCGGCCATCGGAGGGGGAGAGGGAGGGTTGCGATCGCCGATGGAGGTCGGTGGGAGCAGGGAGAAAGCGACGTCGGGCTGGGGAGGAGGATCCGTGGCGAGGTCCGCTGCGATGGAGCAATGACGGCGGGGCGGAGCTTCGAAAGCGACCATGGACGACGACGGCGAGGCGGGACCGTGGTGCCGGCGGGCCCGTGGACGGGGGTGCTCGACCAGGCGGCACCGCGGACGGGGGCGCTTGGCCAGGCGGGCCTGCAGACGGAGTCACCGGCGACCTCGACGCTCGGCGGCTCGGTGGGGAGGGAGGCGGGCTTTGCTCGGCGGCTCGGCAGGGAGGGAGGCGCTCCCATCGTCGCTGGGAGATGGCGCAGCCATGGCGTCCTCGGTCCCCATCGGGGGCCACGCCGTCGCCCAAAGGCTGCCGCCATCGGTGACGAAGGGGAGGTGCCTGTGTGCGAGAGGAGGAAGGGAAGAGGCGGCGGGGCTCGCGAGAGGAGGCGGGGCTCGTGAGAGGAGGAAGGGAAGATGACGCTCTGTTGCGTCCGCTGTTGAAGAAGGAAGGTTATGGGTCACGGACCCTTTTATTATACACAACGCAAACCGACGAGTGCGTCTTTGATTTGGGTCGGGTCGGTCGGAGACAGTCTAACCTCCACCAACTTTGCAGCCTGTTCAGTTGACTGGTTCGTGAAGAAATACTGCTGGCTGATCTGTGTGAGAGAAAAATACTATTTCGATTAGAAATTTACGATCGTTTACGACATGCCACGACCAAACAAACAGCCCCAAATAAAAGCAAGCAAAAGCGCTCTCTCCAACACTCCAATATCCACCTTGTCTGCAGTCTGCGCTGCACTCAACCACCACCCGCACTCTCCACCTCTCTCTCTCTCTCTCTCTCCCCCAGATTTTCACTATCTATTTTTCCAATTGCCATTTATCTCTTCTTTTGTTCTCTAATTTAGTTCGTACAAGACTTCTCGGATTACTCGTCTTCTTTGATTGCAATTATCGAAATTCTTTTTTCCTACCTGCATTTTCCTCCTCCAAATTCACCACTCTTGCACTCTGGCTGGCCTCCTTTTGTCTTGTGATCCAAGCCGGTTGAAGTCCTCCGTCTCCTTCCAGCAAGATCTGATACAGAAGGGGAATCGTAAAGAACCGCTCTGCAAATGAGGCCGGATACGCGGCTTGAATCGGCGGTGTTCCAGCTCACCCCGACCCGCACCAGGTGAGCTACCGGATCTGCTCGAGGAACTCCCGGCGATATTTCTCGGTTTCCTCTGTTAATTTGGCCCGAAAACAGGGTTGCTCTTCTCTTCTTCTACTTCCTATATAATATGCCACTCAATTATATATGTCTCGTCTCGTCTGGCTCTGGTGTGTGGCGTGTTGCCAAAAATGGAGCGAGCTCTGGATGCTCGGGCATGGCATTTCCCCATGAAACGGCAAAAGCTTTCGCCTTCACCTCATATACGTAGCCAAGCCTGGCTTCACTATCTCAACACTGCACTGCTAGATCTGATGTGCTCATGCTCTAAATTTGATCGAATACTAGGGCCACAGCTTACCGTCGTATGTCGAAATACCCATTTTTTCTGCCATCGTGATGCAGTATGCAGGCAAATGACTTGCTTCTCTCTTCTAGGTGTGATTTAGTTGTGGTGGCGAATGGACGGAAGGAGAAGATAGCCTCTGGTTTGCTGAACCCATTCGTTGCGCATCTCAA